AAGTTGCGCAGTCTATTTTTGTCAGGGTATCATGAGATAAGAGAATTACCAGATTTTATAGATCAACTGAAGCATTTAAGGTATCTTGATCTATCTGATGTTACAATTTGACCAATTTACCACACAGCATAAGCAACCTGGTCAATTTGCAAACTCTAAAACTAATTAGGTGTTATCATGTGCGTAAAGTTTCTATGGATTTCATAATGAAGTTTGTCGACTTGTGTCATTCAACTTGTTGGACAGAATTAAATGGTTAAAAGTGAACCTCTGGTTTGCAGGCAATAGTGGCATTGAACATATAGTCCATACACATTTTTTATTTAACAAAAAAAAAAAAAAATATCTATTTTGGTTGATGAAAAACAAAATTATTTTTGCCACCTGACATTTCTATAATGTTTTTCTTTGAAATTATTGTGTCAAAGACTCAAAGGGTTCGTGCTTGTATCATGAAAAATAATTAGTTCTTTTATCATTATTAGAATCTGGTAAAAGTTTAAAGCACTAACAATCTTTCTCTAAAGGGGTTTTTCGATAGAACCAACTCATAGTTTGAAAAATAGTTTCAGGAGAATAGATTTTAGAAGAATAGATTTTGGAATAAATTTTAGAAGAATAGATTTTGTGTAAAATGATTCTAATAAAGAGTGAGTGGTTGGATAATTACTATCAGAAACACTTTTTTATGTACAAATTACTAAAAAAGACATAAGTTAATATGATAATTACATTAAAAAAATATTTTAATTTATATTTTTATTTGAAGTTATTCTACTGTCTTTAATGTAAGATCTAATTAATTAATTTGAGTAGATTAAGAATGCTAGTTAAATTAGTTAATATGATATTTTTTTTAGACACCCTAAGCATTTTTTTAATTTCCTTCCTCTCTCATCTACTTATTATTATTGAGGGAGCACCAATTAGGTCCTATATTAAGGACCGAAATAATAAATTTGTTAATAGTTTTCTTTGCCAACATAATAAATAATGTATAAAAATATATTAATTAATTGTTTACATCTCTATATATATTTATAAAATATAAGACTAAATATGTTTTAGAAAAATGAAAAAAAATTTCACCAGAAAATATTATTTTAAGTGGGGGAGGAGAACCGATCAAAAAAAAAAGAACCAAGGAGGAGAAAGAAGGAGAAATGTGAAGGCGTGAAGATGACAGTGATGGGGCAAAACATTTCACTGACAAATTTGGATTGCGTTGGAAACGGCAAAAGCTCTAAGAAAATGTGAAACTGAAATTTGCAACTGAGTTGGACACAAATAGTTGTTTGGTTGGAGTTAAAAACTTGATCAACTTGTGGCTTTTAACCTCAGTTGAATTCAACAGAAGAAAATTTGACTTTTTCCATTTTAAATTAGTTTCAAATGGTAATCATTAAAAAAGAGCATTAAAAATATACCAATCCAGATATACCCTCACGTTTTTCTCTTTACCTCATCTCCTTCATTAGCATAATGAGCTTTTATTCAGACCAAATGAATTAATTTATATTCATGTTTGTTAATTGTATATATTTAATTAATTATATACAATGTGTTTTCAAATTTTTCTCCGTAACAAATATTTTATTTTATAATTTCACAAATAAATTAATTATATTTTATCATAATAATTTTATGTATTTTTTAAACTATTATCGTATTAAAAACATTAAATTTCAAACACTACTATTCAATAAAGTTCATACCCTTTTGAGTCATTTTACAACTAAACTAATTTTTTTATTAATCATCTAAACAACTTTCAACTTTTTCAACTGGTTTTTTATAAGCACCTATCTAAATATAAATCACATTATACTAACTGATTTTTATTCTAATTTCAGTTATAAAAATTAGTTAAATTAGAAGTCACTTTTACCCAATATCAATCCAAACACACCCAACAACGTCCATGTTCGTTCCAAAAGCAACAAAATTTCTATGTCTAAATATCTATTAGACTCCATTTTCAAATTTTAACTAGTGACTACATGCTTTTGAAGATGTATTAGAATTACAATTATATGCCGACTAATATGCTAATTAAATGGGTGTTTTGATTGCACCTTCAAATGATGAAAAGCCTTCATTAATCCGATGGCAAATGCAAGTGGAATTAGCTTCCACCATGACATATTTATCTGGACTGATTCTCTTAGAATCCGACTGTATAATACTTCTTGAGAAGACAATTCAAATGAACTGATAAACAACATAACTCACAATATCCTACATTTATTTTTGAGATTGTCAAGATTTTCATGTTGAAACTGATAAAATAATAAGACAACGAAGAATGAATGAAACAAAGGTAACGGCCCTGAAAAATAGTGAAATGGTTATTATTTCAATTATTTATTGTAAATTGGCAACAATGTTAAGTCGGTAGACACAGTGGTACTAAAGGTTATCGAATATCCTTCATGTGTTGAGGTCGAATCTTTGTTCGAAACAGGATAAAAATTCAAATTCAACTGCTTAACAATATGCAATAGCCTCCAGTGCCACAAATACATATAAACTTATCTTTATTGCCAATCATTCTTTTTAGAGCCATCACACTGAAACAGTCACGGATAAACAATGGCCATCTCAGTGTTGTTGAGCTCTGTGATGTTAGTATCAAGAGGGAAGAAAAAAGGATAAAGCTCATATCGGACGTAACAAGAACTATACAACACTCTACACCCTTTACTATTGCTGCAAAATGTGCCGAAGTTGTTCTCTGCTATAGCCAAACACTGAGCGCAAGATAAATCAGACAAGTCTCCTGTACATTGAACTAAAGCATAAAGTGTCACAAAAGAAGACAGCTCGGTCTTCCCTTTTCCCAGCCCTTTGTTTTTTGCCATAACAGCTTCTGCTTTAATCTCATCCATCAGAGATCTCAGTTCTTTATTGAAAGCTTCAGGATCACTCACATTCTCGAGGTTCCAATAAATTATACCAAAAGATGTATCAACTTTTCCTACAAAACTCTGATTACTATACTTTAAAAAGCAGTAATCATACCAAATTCTTGAATCAGCTTGGCCTGGACATTTCTTTCTGATCTCTTTTGCCGCGTCTTGTATGCAAATAGAGCAGTCTTCTTTGCTCACATCTTGCCTACATTGAGACAGACCATAATTTGGTCTTGTTCTTTACCAACGGAGGCAGAAACGAAGCCACTTGAGGGAGTTTCAGGCACTAACTCTGCTAACAGTTGATCAATGTTAGCAGATAGTTTGCTCCCGGCTGTTATGTTTGTGTTTTCATTGCAGAAATTACCCAAGGCTTCTTGGGATTCTGCATTGCAAGAGCATATGAGAAGTAAGAAGAAGATTTTAAAGAACAAAGACATGATCTTTTTTGGTTTTAGCACTTAATTTTAGGGTTCACAAGCTGCTTCTTATGTAGAAAACAAGTTTGGGAGGCGTTGGAATGTGGAATCTGTTACAGCGGACATTTCTGACTTGCAAGTCATAGTGATTGGAGGAAACAATCAGCATTATTTCAGAAGGCTATTTGGGATACTGTAATTTTAATTAATTCTAATAATTTAGATGCTAGTTGACATCCAATATGACTCAATTTATAATACCAGATAAAATGACATGTTTAGAGTGGTAACTCATATCATACCACTCAAAACTTGTGGGATTTTAAAGCACATCCTTTTTATATCTTCAGAAAAAACCTTCAATTGCTATACAGAATAAAGACGAGTTAAACACGAAGGTATGTTATGAATTAATTTTTTTTTTTTGGTATCATACTATCTATGATATAATTGATATTATAGGACATGAGGTAATATTGTAAGTTTCTTAAAATATATGCTTTTTTGTTGTCAAATGACGTCTGAATGAATGAGCTTTTATGTATTTTAACTAGTTTAGCTCTAGAACTTAAATTACGTGAATAAAAAGCATTTAGCAGTCCAAGTTGAAACACATACAAAACAACAACAACATTAGTCTTGTGAGAACAACAATAATTTGTTTCATCTGATTAAGTTGTATTAGTTATATCAACCATATAATGATCTTGTTTGCCATCACGATTAAAATCACTTATAAGCAAGTTTCACGTAAATCGAGATAAAATTTCTCTCACATATTAATCTCGTATTCTATAAATCATGATTGAAAAACTAAATATTATTATACTCTATCCGCAAACGAGCCCAACATTACTGTATTTTTTCCACAACTAAATCTTTAAAATAATAAGAGGAAATAATAAACTTGCTTCATTAATTTTTGTAGCCATTAAGTCAATAATGATTAGCTGTACAATAATATTACCATTCAATCAAGCATACTATCCTTCCACATCCTACAGATAATACTTCCTAGTTTTCAATAATGGCATGTTGACTTTTGAAATTTGACATTGTTTTGTGGCCTACAGAGTTCGAAAATTGATTGGTCCATTGACTGATAACAAATTTGGGAGATAGTGTATTGTCGAGTCTTTTCTCAGCAGACACTTTTGACTACTAGTTTCTCAGCCATCATAATGATCAGAGGCGTCAATTAAGCAAGTATTTGGCATACTGTTGATTGTTATCCTCTGTATGTGTGAGCCTGCATAATATGTTTGGCCAGAATCAGATGTACATTCCATTGGAAGCCCCTTTGTTTAAGCTCAACGGGGAAAAAAGAAGTAAACGTGATATCAGAAATATGAAGCTACCATCATTTGCAAAGACAGACTTTGATCCAAAACCGTGGTTTCAAAACTTAATAATAACAATTAAAAGACTAAACCATAGTTTGGTTAAAACTTTGATTGAAACTTTAAAACAATTTATTTTTTAAGCTTATTCAAGTGATAGTTATTACATTCTTTTTTTTTTTCCGGCTACTACCTCACGCATCGATTACATTCTTTACACAGAGTTCAAACATAATCTCACGCTTATTCTGGTAAAAAAAAAAAAACATAATCTCACGCTTATATTCTTCACTGGGAGTTCAAAGAAGCGATTAATGTTATTGTGGAAAAATACGATTTTTGGCGCTTGAGCGCATTGGTTCAGTTACTACATCCCTGAAACCGGAAAGCCACTCGTAGTTGATACAAATGAGGAACCTTTTTCTAAATCGACTCCAAGCCTCATTCACTCGCTCCTCAAGTTCAAGTCCGCTTTTCCCTTTCTTGCTCTCGTCCCGACGGGTCAGTTACTCTGCTCTTTCTCACGCGTGCATTTCCTCGTTATCGCAAGTGTCCAATTTTTTGTGCCTATTCTGTTTATGGGATTTTCATTTTACTAGTTCTTTCTTTGGAGCTGGAAATGCTGAATTATCGTGTGAATCCGTTATTTGTTTACTTGTTAATGTCGAATCCTGGTTTTAACTTGGAATTTGAGATTTCGAGCTGAAATCTTCATCATCGGCCTGACTTGCTGAATTTATACCCGCGTAATCTTATCGTGAAAATGATTTTGTTTGAAGGAAACTAATTACTAGTGCTGCTGAGTAGCTAAGTTGGTGGCTTTTTATTTAATCCACCACCATTCATTGATTTGATCAACACCACGGCAATATACAAAACTGTTTCCGCATTCATACTGGAACCAATTTCACTTCTTTTTATTGAATGATTGCATACAGCTTTTTCTATGGGCTCTGTAGCCTCTGATTAATGCTAAGCCAATCCCACAATTATTTCACGACAGTTTGTTCATCTCCTTATGACTTTCGTTGGTGTAACTGCAATGTCTGAATTAATGCTAACAGTGGCAGAGTAGCGAACAACGTTCCTCCACGAATTCAACTTGCAAAATTTCTCTTGCAATCCTGCATCATTCGCCAAACTACACTTTTTTATGCTGACCCAGAAATTTTAAGAGCCTTTTGCATGCGCCGGCGATTCAGATCATATTAACTGCCCTTAATTGCTAAATCCCCTACATTTTGTGCTCAACAATGGCTCAACACCAATGTCCAGACTTTCATCTATCCACAGCAAACAAACTGCTAATTAGTAATTATCAATGTTCAATAATGTGGCTTCCCGGCTGGAATCCCACAAAAGTGTCCACCATCCTAAATTCCATTGTTCCAGTATTTATGCAGAATAAAATCTGTCAGTCTTTTATCCATTCTTCCTCCAAACATTAGGATTATATCATCTAAATTTTTTGACTTTTGCAGAATGCAGTGTCACCACCAAAAGCCAAGGATGAAGCAGAAAGAGACACTACTGCTAGGTTGTAATTTTACCTTTTTGATATTTTCTTTGGGTCTTCAATCTGTTTCAAGTGCTGCGTCGACAGCTATGAAGAATCAATAATTCAAAACGGAAATATATTGTGTTTCATATGTATATAACACTTGTATCGAACATGACACGATACTTCAAATTGCGTTTGAATACTAATATGCCTTGCTGTGTTGCAGTGTTCAAGGCTTATCTGTGTTAATATTAATGCTTCTTAGATTGAAAGGGATTTGACTGTTCCAACTGTTGTATATTTTGTCATCGTTAGGCTGATTACCCGTTTGTTGTGCTCACCCTTCTTGCTTAACAGTCAGTTTTTGCTATGATTATAATCAGTAGTTTTTTTTTTAATGGATAAAAAAAATACATTAGTAGCAATAAAATCATTTAATTATCATTCTCTTTCATTCTTCACAGCAAGGAAATTCAAGCTAGCATTCAACATTCAGCTATGCACAAATATCTAACTTAGTTGTTTGGAGGGGATTGTAAATGACAAAGTGGCTGCAAATGCTAACTGCCAAGCATTTCAAGGCAATATTACTTGTATACAACTACGCTAGAAGCTCACCTTATATGGATCTGCATCGCTGTTTAGAAGTTTTAACTTCTGAGAAATTATGGTTTCCTAATGTAGCTTCTAGTTTATAATTGTTGCGCATAACTTCATCTGCTAATAAGCCAAAGGAAATATTTATTACTATCAAATAAGTGAGACTAATATCTTTACCTCAGTCTAAGGGAAAAAAATGTAAATTTGTACGGTGGTACAACAATTTAAACTTTTGAAGAAATTCAAGAATAAACTATCTCACTTAAATCAGAAGATATATTTCTCATTCTCAATTTTTAATGTAAAATTTTGTATTTTTCTAATGTTTCTTTTAACACAGGGACAACACAGGATTTTCTAGTGGTCTTAACTGGGCTCTGGCTTTGAAAGGTGTAGCTGTAATGGGAAAAGCTTTACCTAACTTAAACCCATCTGAACTAAGGCAACATGGTGCAATCATTGCTGGTAAGACGAAATTTATTCCTTTCTGATCTTAATTACTTCTTTCCTACACATTGTTATCGAACTTATTGTTTTTATTTATCTATTAGATCCCTTATCTGGATGCCCGCTACATATGAGAGGAAATGTTATTGGTGAAGCATCAAAAATCTCAAAGGCGCAGTTTGGCAAGCTTCTTAAACTGGTATGATCTAAACTTGGGGAAGCATTCAGATCTTTCTTACATATATATTTTGCTAAAATGTTCTGTTCATGTTATATTTTGTGTCCAACTGTTTCGCTAAATTTAAATTATGCTTAGGATTTTTTGAGATGTGAAATGAGAATTATGTCAGTAAAATAGGGAGCGGAAAAGAATTTCCGCTCCCCTCTTTGGATACCAAGTAAAACTGGGAAGAGGAGTAAATTGAAAAGATAAATAGATAAACAGTGTGTGGGCCCTGCAAAAATCTCTCTAGCCTAATGATATTTCAATGGTGTGGATATTAGTGCCATTCATGAAGAAGCAGAGTGGTTCATTACTTCATTTGCTAAAGATAATTCGTGCATGCAATATAATTTTTTTAACTTTTATGTATTAAACTCTTTATGTCAGGTGGCGAATCACCTGTCATCTGTCCCTAATATATTTGTTCATGATGGAGCTATTGGTTCATCACCAGACTGTGATGCAAAGGTTCGAGTGATAAGTGATAGTCCTTCGGCAATACTGTCACTTTCTAATATTCTCTATGAGACTCACACTCGATCAGTTTCACATGATTCTTGTCCATTGACTGTTTATGTAGCCACATCTATAAGGTATATATGGCATATACAAGATATTCAGACTATACATGTTTCAATCTTCAGTGGTGATGTTTCATATGCTGTGTTAGCATGTAGTAAATTTTCAACTTAGCCTGTAGGAGCTTTTGGTGATTGCCTCAACTTTCATGTTGGGTGTGGGTTTGTAGCGCAGATTATTGCTTGATTATCTTTTTTTTTTTTTTTGGATTATTTTTTTGGGGGGGTGTTAGGGTGGAACTGTTTCCAGTTTTGTATGTGTATGCTTGATTCCTAGAAAAGTTTGCCTAAAATGTGTAATAACATAGAATATCCCAATAAATATGAGAATGTTAGATCAAGAGAGGATAAACGGGTTGAAAACTTGAAAGGAGGCTGGGAAATTTTTCTTCTATGGAAGGGACAAGGATATGACTGGACTGCTAATTACATGTATGAGCTAATAGTTCAAGATAAGGTCTTTTATACTATAATTGAAAAACGTTATTATTTTGTCAATTCCTTCAATTATGCTAATTAGATTCGCTCAATGATTTACGTTGTTGACATAATAACTATGGGGATTTTTTCCCTGAAAAAGAAAGAGAGAAATTATTGGGGTTCAGGCATAACTGGCGGAATCGCTTTGTTTGTTTTCATCGTTCACAAGAAGAATATGTTATCATATGACATTTATTCTAAAATGATATTATGGCGCATATCGTTGTATTATTCATGAGTTAGCTGAAAAGTTTAGTTCCCTAGTTCTTTTTGGGTTTATTTTTTTCCCCGTCTTATGCATAGTTAATATGTCCAAAAAAGCAACTAATCTGCTGACTCTGAACTGTAACATTTGTTCTCGTTATCCTAGAAACAATCTGAACACAAAATATGTGAAATTAAATTCCACACCAACTTCTCACCAAAAAAAACAATTCTACACCAAGTTTTTTAAAAAATGAGTTTGCTGGCCTTACCTGAGTATACTTTTCTTAGTTCTTCATCAAGCTTTGGAAAAACTGAATTGAAATCAAAGTTTTCTGCTAAGAGCTGATAATAAGATAAGATCTTCATCAAACAAAGTGCTGCTACTTTTTCCCACCAATGAGTCAATGACTTAATTTTATGTATGCTTTAACGGGCCTGGTAAATGAATTTCAAGAAGAGAAACTTCTTTCCTCTAATCAGAAGTTGCAGCCAGGGCCCACTGTTTTAAGAGCATGATGTTACGAATAAAAACTACTATGAAATCAATGATGCAGTCATTCTTGGATGTTACGGTGCTTCTGAAATGGTTCGTGAGACTACTTTTGACAGTGTTCTCTTACAGAAAGCTGGCCATGGGTTTTACTTTTCTATTTGCTGAATCCTTTGTTCGAGACATTGGACTATGATGTATTTGATTCTATGGGGAGATGATTGATTTTGACTACGCAGTTCTTCTTTGATGAAGGCTATTAGTGTGGAATATCAGTCAAATAATGGATTTGTAGCTGCAGATATTGAGAGATCATCCATAATTCTATGTGATAAAGCTTTCTCAGATGCCAGTGCGATCAAGAAAGCACTATTTGCTTTGTCTGAACCTGTGATATCTGCAAGAGGAGGCATTCCTCTACCAGGAAGGTAATTGTTTGTTGACTTATGACAAGATCTCAATAGAAGTTTTCTTTTAAATAACTGGATGTTTCAAATTTCAGGATCCTAGTTTCTGGAGATTATGTTTTTGTACTATTTGCATCAGAAGAGACAATTCAAAGCTTGCAAACTTTTTGATCTCCACTGATGCTGGCATAATTCTTTCTCCCCAGAGTGTTGCACCTTTATTTCAGACTGGAAATACTGGTGGATCTAATATATTTAAACTGCCTGCTGCTATTGTCCTTGTTTCTTCTGATAGGTAATCTAACCTTGAGTGTAGAAACGCATGCACTGCGATGATATCTGGTTCTGTTTTGCACAATGTTTATCATGCATAAATATTTTGTGGCCCATGACTGCATTGTACTATAACTGCATATTATATATATTCTTATTCGGCAAGTGTAATTCTCTTAAATGGCACAGCTTGAACTGATGACTAATTTAGATGGTCAAGCACAATTAAACACCTGTATTCAATAACATCTGTACACAATGATCATTTCAAAGACAACAGGTTTACTATGTGCTTCCTAATATTAAGTTTTAATTGGAGTTTTACTATTCTCCTTTACAGTTCAGAAGATGACCCTTGTTCTTATTATTTTTAGTTCCCTCTGTTTCTTCATCTGTGATTTGTCTATTGAAGCAGTTCTGAATGCATCCCTTCTGTTTCAAAGCTATCTCCTGGTCAAGCTGCTTATCATTTGGTAACCGGTTATCAAAATGGGAAATTTGTGCCTTCATTCAGCCACGCTCCTTCATGTATTGATCCGCTGGAGCTCGCAAAGGCCCTTCTAGCCAAGGTCATTAACTGAACCTTGTTCTTCTATTTTATGTTTCAGTATGTTGTGACTGAAATAATAGTTGCTTTTTCACTTCTTTACAATCTGCTATTTTTCATTATCATGTATTTTCTATCTATCCTACAGCTGAAAGACAATCAAATATCTGCCTACCTGATTAATGTCAACAAAGGGGAAAAGACTCTTTCTGGTAAGTATGGAAACATCTAGAGGACAATTTTTCGAATATCAATATACTGAAACATGGCCACTGTAATAATAGACCTCCTTTGCCAATTATGCAAATAAGGAATCGATTGATGCATTCTGATTAGTACTCTCCTGCCTTTTTCATATTTTAAAACAAATTTCAATTTGCTTTTTTTTTTTTACAAAGTTATGACTAATTTATTTCAGTGTAAAAAGAGTGGCCTCTTAAGAGAAGTTTTTAATATTTGGATTTTAAAGTATTGCTCAAAAAGTAAAAAATCCTTCACGCACCTTATCCTGGGGAGCTGAGCTGCCTCAAATTTAATAAGCGAATCCATAAGGATAAGGTTATGTTTGAATTAAGGAGAATGGAGAAGGGAAGTATTCAACCTCTTAAGACTATTTTGCTAACCCGGACCTTCAATTTCCTTTACCCTTTCTTCTTCCATGGTGCTCATTCTAGGTTAACAATGATCTCTACGTTCAGAATTCTCATTATCTTTTGCTGACTTAGCAGGTAAAGATCTTGTGAAGCTGGTGGAATCGACTCTTTCTAAAGATGTCCCGCCATTCCATACTAAAGGTATCCGCTTGTCTCTTCCTTGCCCTTATATACACATTCTTTTTTCTTGAGAATCTGACCCTCTCTTTCGTATTTCATTGGCAATACAAATGATTTTCAATAATGTATCTGGTACCCTTTTTCAGGTGGAGATCTTAAAAGAAAGTACAAGACATTTCTGTCAAAGATGTATCCAGGGCTGCCTGAGGAATTTACATTCTGATGAAGATGGTCATATCTTTAGATTTAGGTTGTCCTTGTATCATCAAATCATCATGTGTCAGAGCTAGTTATTCTCTGTTTTAGATCCTTGGAAGTTTGAAGCTTGTAAAGGGATGTAAAGGATGTGAATTGAAGTAGGCAAGATTGTCAGATTCCGTGGTGATTATGTTTGTAAATAGTGAATTGTCAGAAACTGAGTGACAAAGAGGAGCAGTAAGTTCATTACTTCTAGACAGTATATTATATTTAAAAAGATAGCGAGTCTAACAAATCTACCACTTCATGAAGAATAACATCACGAAGAACAGTGAAGACAATGAGATAACAAGAAGGTTTTTCATTTTTCCCCCCTTCTTTTTTCAATTGAATGTATTTCCATCTTTTTGGGTGTGTTTATTAATTTTCAAAACCCGGTTTAAAAGGAACTTTTATTTCATTTGCAAAACCAAATTTCATGTTGACATTCCGTTTTATAGAAGTCAATTTTGAGTCACCCAAACAAACAAATATATATATATGTCAAAAGTAGGTTTATAAAAAATCAATTTGAATATATATATCAAAATTAGGTTTACAAAAATCAATTTGAACCTTCTCAGTGATAGTCAAACACATACTTTATGTTTCCCTATCCCCAGCATAGCAGCACAGTGTAAAGGAAGAAAATTTATTTAGAGAGAGATTGAGAGAGAGCAAAAGATGCTTCACAAAAGTGCTGATAAATGAGGAATACAAAGATAAAATGAAAGAAGCAAGGGGCAGAAGCCATCATTTCCTAAGCAAATAGATTCTGGAAGTTAATAAATGAGTATAGGTTTATGGAGAATTGGACACCAACATATTTTAAAGTTGTTGATGCCAACATTAGACTCTGAAGTCCCATTGACCCATGATTCAACAACTGAATCCTCCATGTATATAATATGATTTCTCATTCATTCATTCATTCATTTCATCATCTTCTTGGCACTTGTCTATCACACCAGACATATCAAATTACAGCTTATCTTCTCCCTGCCCCACTAGATATGGAGATTCTTTTATTTGAACATAGTCCTTGCACATAGAGCCTGCAGAAAAAAGGTTTCAATATTCTTTTAACAAGGAAACAAAACGGTGGGAGGACATTTTAGTAATTGTAGTAAGGAGTGTAGAGTTCCCATGACGTTTCTACAAGAGGCAATCTGCCGGTCTGGGTCCTTAGGGACCTCCTCATCATGCTCCCCTGTCTCTCTTCACATTTCCACAAACACTTCTCTTTTCCTCTTGCATTCACCACAACTCTCTCTCTCCCTGTCTCTCTCTATTATATATTCACAGTCTATTAATCACATCTCTCTTCAAAGTTTCACACTGTGACTGTAAGCGAGATGGCCAGCACTAAAATTGACAAACTAGTATTCATTCTACTCCTCACCTCAATCCTTGCACCTAAACTTATTCAAGGTCATTCCACACTCCCAATCTTTCTCTTCTTCTCTTTTGTGTTTCTGCTTCTCTTAATGCTTCTAGTACCATTCTCTCTTGTCTGCTATATACTTGTGAAATTGCACCCTTCAACTTATCTGCAGCGAATGAGTATTACTGTGTTAATTTCTTTACCCATATAGATTTTTCTCATTCTGAATTCTTATGAATGGTTTTATGTTTGTTACAGGAATCAAAACAGAAGGAATGGTATTTCAATCCTCTCAACTCCAAACTGAACCAAGTTTTCAGGTGAGAATCTCAAATAGAAAATCTTGAAAATTTAGCATAACAAGTAAAGAAAAGGAATCCTGCAGACAGGCAACTTTGTTTCTGTCTTAGGGAAACCTGTTCTGTTCTGTCATAGTCCTTTGTCCAAACATAACCTTAATTAGCAGTAAATTTTGAACAAAGAATCAAATGTTTTTTAGCATCAGGAAGAGAAGGAGGGATGGAAGAAGAGGAATTCGAGGAGACTGATGATAGGATCCACAGCACCAACTTGTACTTACAATGAATGCAGAGGCTGCAAGTATAAATGCAGAGCTGAGCAGGTTCCTGTTGAAGGCAATGATCCTGTCAACAGCCCATACCATTACAGATGTGTTTGTCACAGATGATTATATGATGATGATGATCATAATCATCATTATAGAAATTTATATATTGTTGTTGTTGTTGTTATATATAGCATAATATGATTATAATCAAGTAGTTCTAGCACTAGTGGGTTTAATTGTCTTCTGTGACTTGTTCATCCTTGCCTCCAATATCAGCAGTTGTGAGTTTCTTTTGCTGAAAGCTGCAAAAATTTTGCATTTTTCTTTATTGTCATTCAGTTTCTAATGAGAACCACATTCTCTTTGTTGATTCGCTTGTTTTATCATTCTTTTATTTTAGTTTCAATTATTCGACTTACTACTATCAAACTAGACGGAATTTCGATTCTCTCAATTGAGCTTCATTAAGTCTTAATTGAGAGATATTAGCCACTAGATTAAGATCTAATGGTTTTGAGGGGGACTTAAAATTTAAAAAAAAAAACAAAGGTTTTTACTTCAGACTTTTCTTTTTAAGATTCAAGTCTTTAATGCGATTATTTCCTCGACAACAATTTAATGAAATTTCGTGAGAGATCAATGAACATAAATTGCAACATAAAAGGGTCAAAATTACATACTGTTAACGCAATACAATAATGATTAGTTACAGTGTTTTCATCAATCACAAATATCAAATTAAAAATGAATCCTGAAATCCTAAAGAGAAAGAAAAATTAACCTTACGTGAATTAATTGGTAACTTCGCTTTTAAAATTGTCAAAAATATCAGAAACATTGACGTTTACTTAATTGGCATATTATGGATGCCAAGCAAGTCATTATATTGTCTTCTTGTGGCCTTTCTCAGTGTTACAAGCCCCACCTTTTGTATTTTAGAGGAAAGAGAGAAAACTTAAGATTCTGAATTCTAACCCATTTGAAATCACCCACAAGAACATAATTCTCTCAGCTTCTAAACAATCAATAAGTTCAGAACTTTAAGTTTAAAACAAAGAAAGACTAAAGAAGAGTAAGATATCAGATTGAGATAACAATTAGTGGAGAACAAGGTGGCACATATATAGATAGATAGAAAGTGGTCCTAAATAGTAGACACAAGGGACCAAGAGGTCACATGGGGGCATAGTTTGTTTGAACTCAAAGCATGTCATTTACACAAAGTGGCAAAACTAAATTTAAATGCAGCAGACTTTGCTTACTTATTCATAGAGAGTGAGGTCCCATTTTTCAGTGTAAAGCATGTTTCTCTCTGCAAATGTTAAATGTTTGTGTTGGTTTGCACCCGGCCTCTTCATACTCTCTGATATGCACACACACGCACACACTTTTTACCCTCCCACTCAATGCCAAAGATTGATCTTATGGGGTAAATTGGTCCCTTTTTTTTTGCATAACTCTCTGGGATTCAATAACATTAGCTAATTCAAATTCAAACAACAATTGTTGAGGCCAAATAGAGAGCATTTCTTGTAACGTGATTTTTTTCCTTCCACAACATTCAAGTATTCAATCATCCCTAAAAGTTACTCCCTCCAATGGCCAATATAACAATTAGTTATGGTTTAAGTTTGGTTCTAAACATAAAACCTTAAGTCATTTTGTTTCTTATATTTATCATTTTCTTTCAAACCAATTTACTTTACTTATAGACTGATATATAATCTAATGTTATAAGGAAATATTCTAGGGTGATGAAGTCACATTTGTTATAATTAGTTAATTTTTTACTTGCTTAATTTACTCAAATTGATTAAGTAGATTTTATATTTAGGAGTAGATGGAGTATTAAGTTCCTTTTACTTAAGCTAACCATCATCAGTTAAAAATTTCCTATTCCATGAATGTAGCACTTAAAAAGTGTCGTGGGCAAATTGAAAACCATATATTACTTGGGGGCCAAAACATTTTTGAATTAGTAACCTTTATTTTAACAAAGATTTGGAGTCTGAGCGGGGGGCCGCACAAGCAGCTGGCTTTGCTTCTTGTCATTATTCAGTCACTTGAGAAGAAAGATACAGAAAGTTGAAGGTTTCACTTGACCTGTAAATCCTCTCTCTTTCTTTCTCTTCAATATATCAAGCATAGATTACAAATTTATGTTTTGGGTAATTACTGGTATTATTTTAGTGATGTAGACGGGAGGGAGGAGTATTTTATTAATAAAAATTAAAAAATAATTAAATTAATTATTTTTAAGAAATGAATGTTGACTTTTTTTTAAAATACCCACTGAATTATTTGTATTAAAAAATATTTTTATTAATAGAAACTCTCCTTTAATATATACAATTAAAAAGGATGGCTTGGGAAAAAAACAATTATAAATTTTGGGAGACTAAACAAATTATAGTCCTACTTTCAAAATTAAGCCAAATAATATTATGTATTTAGTTAATTTGACAATAAAAATCAACAAACAGGAGAAAAGAACAGTACAAATTTGTTCAAGAGACAAAATTTTGCTGTCGGCCTAGTCAAATCATAACAAGTTAAATTATTTCAGCCAAAAAAAAGTTAAATTATTAAAATTTGTCTTCACTCATGTATTTTTTCCAAATAGTTAAAAGTGTGAAAGATAAGTTCTATTAGTTTTCTTTTTTTAAAAAAAATCTATATTACAAGGACCACATAATTCTATCACGTTTAACAATGATGGAAAATTGTTTTTCTAAATTCAACAATGTGATCCTATCAAGTGTTTTCAGTTAACCCAAAAGGTTAGTTTCTTGTAACGTGACAAACCAAATTTTAAATTCTTATTAAAAAAATATGTACATTTAGTATTTGACGGTGTTTCAAACATGTTGCCTTCCTAATTTTCTTTCCAGTCAAATGTAGGGTTACGTTACATTTTTGCTGGGACTTGTTAGCAGCAGTGAGGAAGGCTCGTCAGAATGTTCTGTGACAAAGCCAATAACAAGCTAGCCAGGGAATTAGTATCTGTATGCACAAGAAGGACATATCCCCAAGAAGGGCATATCCCCACACACCCACACACACTCTAGAATGGAGAAACAAAGCCGACGAGAACTTCTCAGCCTCGGAAGAAGCAACAAAGCGAGATGATAAATTTAATATGGAAGTGTGGAATGTGTCATTCTTACGACAAAAAATACCTTTTCAATCTTTAATATGAGACTTAATTAATTATTTTAAATAAATTAAAAATATTAGTTAAATTAATTAATAAGACATCTTCTTTGTAAAACATTCAAATTATTTTCTTTAAGTCCTTTTTTCCTCTCTTATTTGATTATTATTGAGGGAATATCACTTGATTATTGTTA